ATAAAAGGCAACACTGATTCACTGAAAAGAACATAACTGACAAACCCCTGGGGAAATAAATTAGAAAAAAAGGCACAAATAATCTTACTAATGAAGAAAGGGGTAATATAGACAGAGCTTAAAAATATATCCAGAGAATATCATGAACACTTTCATGCAAACAAATCTGATAACTTTAAAAAGCTAAAAAATGTCAATATTACAGATATGGTCCAGCAAAACTGACTCACCAACAATTAGGACGACTTGACAGTTCTTATAACTACAAATACATTGAGGTGATAGTTTTACCAGGCAATGATAGTTTTATAGCCTTGTTCCACAAAAATTTCAAGAAATGGATTAATTACATACTATACAAACTCTTTGAGAAAATTAAATAAGAACAGTAAAATACAGGTCTATCTTATTCATCAACATACAAGAAAAATCTCTTAAAAAACTGTTGGGAAAAGCAGTCCATCAGCGTCCCTGTGTTCCCTTCCTCATTCTTCGAGAGTGTAACTGATTCTGAGGTTTATCTGTCTCATGTTACGGAGCGGGTTCTGTAGCTAAATAGGCAACTATTAATAAATAGGTCAAGGCAGCCAGAGTACTAAGTCCGTGTAACTCTTTGCACCTCTGGGGAAGCAGGACTAGATTTATGTAGTTAGCTATAATATTTGTTGCTTGCTTGCAAAGTGCTGGACCTTTGGACTTGGATTACTCAACTGCAATGCAAACTGTGTGTACACAACGTGTGTCTGGGCCCATCTGGTAGCTTGAATGATAATGTTCTTTGTCTCTGACCCAAGAGTCTCATGTCTTCTACCACTATCCATGAAACAATAATTGGCTAACTCAGCTTGTTCAAACTACCATACAACTGAACTCATTTCACATGCTAGCAAGGTCATGCTCAAATCCTTCAAGCTAGGCTTCAACAGTACATGAACCATGAATTTCCAGATGTATCATCTTGATTTAGAAAAGGCAGAGGAACCAGAGATAAAATTGCCAACATTCCTAGAAAATGCAAGGGAATGCCAAAAAAAATCTACTTCTGCTTCACTGAGTACACTAAAATCTTTGTGTGGATCACAAAAAACTGTGGGAAACTTGTAAAGACATGGGAATACCACCACCTCACCTGCCTCCTGAGAAACCTGTATACAGGACAAGAAGCAAAAGTTAGAACCAGACATGAAACAACAGACTGGTTCAAAATTAGGGAAGGAGTATGTCAAGGTTGTATATTGTCATCCTGCTTATTTAACTTATATGCAGAGTACTTCATGGGAAATGTCAGGCTAGAAGATTCACAAGCTGGAAGCAAGACTGCTCAGAGAAATATCAACAATCTCAGATATGCAGACAATACCATTCCAATGGCACAAAGTGAAGAGGAACTGAAGAGCCTCTTGATGAAAGTGAAAGAGGAGAGTGACAAAGCTGACTTAAAACTCAACATTCAGAAAACTAAGATCATGGCATCTGGTCTCATTACTTCCTGGCAAATAGATGGGGAAAAAAGTAAGAACAGTGACAAATTTTATTTTCTTGGGCTCCAAAATCACTGCAGACAGTGACTGCAGCCACGAAATTAAAAGATGCTCCCTGAAAGAAAAGTTATGACAAACAGCGTATTAAAAAGCCGAGACAAAAAAAGAAAAGAAAAAAAAAAAAAACCAAGAGACATCATTTTTGCCAACAAAGGTCCCTATAGTCAAAGCTATGATTTTTCCAATAGTCATGTATGTTTGTGAGAGCTTGACCATAAAGAAGGCTGAGCACCAAAGAATTGATGCTTTTGAATTGTGGTGCTAGAGAAGACTCTTGAGAGTCCCTTGGACACCAAGGAGATCAAACCAGTCAATCCTAAAGGAAATCAACCCTGAATACATTGGAAGGACTGATGTTGAAGCTCCAAAACTTCGGCCATCTGTTGTGAAGAGCCGACTCATTGGAAAAGACTCTGGTGCTGGGAGAGATTGAGGGCAAGAGGTGAAGGGGGTGACAGGGGATGATATGGTTGGATGGCATCTCTGACTCAATTGTCATGAGTATGAGCAAACCCTAGGAGATAGTGAAGGACAGGGAAGCCAGGTGTGCTGCAGTTCATGGAGTCACAAAGAGTCAGACACTACTTAGCGACTGAACAATGCTCTCTGATAGACTATCGTTCACTTATTGATTTACAAATGCTCATTAGATAATACAGAAGTAAGTACCTGGCCTCCTATATAAGTGACAACTGGATTTTTAAAATGCTACTTTTAAAAAGGTACTGAGAATGTTAGATAAAGGGGTATGTAGTTATTCATTTTATTATTTTCTTTAAAATGTTACTCTTTCTATATTATATTTAGTGAATTTAAAAGTTCGCATAGTAAAAGAATTTTCACTGTCACACTCCTTTTTATTTTAAGGGAGATAGGCAATTCGTAGGAGAAAGGTAGAAATTTTCACAGTTATTGAAGTCATAAATTTTTTATTATTGGGGACATGAATGTTTAATGCTTGAGGAACTCTTTGGCCCCTATATCAGAGAAAGTATTGCTTTACCTTAGGACATGAATTTCAAATTATTTAAAACTTACACCTTTTCTTTCATAAAACTAACAGAGTTTGAATTTGTCTTTTAAGCGACTTAACAGAACATTTCCAGCTTACTGGACTGGCCATGTATGCAGTTTTTAAATTGGCCTTCTTCGTATCCTAACTCCTAAAATACCCAACCCACCACTCATACTCCTCAAGTCTCAAAATAGAATTTCTAAAAATTAACTTGGTGAGCCAGGATGATCAAAATCATTATCAAAATGTCAGTATCTATGTTTCAGAGGAAAACAGGAAATGGAAGAAAGGCACTCCTTTTTCTAGTTGGAAGACAAAAGGGAATCTCAGAGGCAATCCATTTTCATTGTTTCTTTTAAATATATCACAACACTATTTTAAATGCTCCATTCTACTCCCTCCCCCTTTTTAGACACAAAATACCACTACGTGGTTATTAAAACTGATGATTAATTATTTCAAGTTTTACCTCCCTAAGAATATACAGCTACCATTCATTAGTGACACTTTATTCCTTCATAAAACCAACCCTGTTTTTACCATCTTAAAGTTATGAAAGAAGGTTGGAAGGGCTCTGATTTTCTTTCACTTCTAAAAGGTCCTTACTCTTCCATACTGATTACCTGAACATAGAATAGCTCTGCCAGAAAAACAAATCTTCACAGAAGAGAAAAGGGCTGCATACAGGCATTTACCATAGAACAAACTGAAGTTTACCGAAAAGGAATTTATTCCAGAGCACAGAGATAACTAAGCTGCATCTAGTAAAGCAGAACTGGTGCCTGACTTGAAAGTCTAAAGGGAGATTTTAACAAATGTGAATCATCAGCAGACAAAACTCTAAAATCAAAGGCCAACCAAAGATTATAGTTTGGAAGACTAACATTTTAACCAATAAAAAAGAATGAAGGACTAAGGAGACAACAGGTATTCAGGATGATTCATTCAATTGATACAAAGTATAAATTTTTTGCGAACACGTCTCTACATGAGATAACATGGAATAGAGTTGTGAAACAGAAGATATACAATATTTGCTTTTTCAGGAATGTTACACAGTATAAAGGGTAAGTCCAACTGGGTTCAATAGCAAATTATTCATTTGTCATTATCATGCTCTCTATCAATATGAGGAGGAGGAAAACAGCTCTTATTGATCTTAAAAGTAAGAAACAATAGTTATCCTTGGAGACAAAAAATATACAATTATTATAATCAGTATGAAATTGTGAGTTCCATACTTCATGAAATCTAAGACTATACAAAGTGATAACCATTCATTCTTATTAAAAGAAAGGAACAGAAGCCCCCACTCCAACTCTAGCTGGATAATTGTTTCAACTATAAGAATAAGATTTAACATATAGAGAATAAGGTGAAATTTAACTGTCTCAACAGTTAAATTTCAAACACCTTGGGTGAATCCTCAAGAAAATATTTTAGATGATAAGTATCCCCCTGTCTGTTTACTTCATACATGATTTAAAAAAAAAAAAAGTAAAATCCTACAGAGAAACTAAAATCACCAGTTAGACCATTCATATAATGACCCAATTTACAAAGGTTTAATTGTATAAGGAAGCCTAATACCACTTTTGTCATTTCATTCATTCCAACAAATGTCAGCAATCCTACCACTCTTATTCGAGCTTCTTTCTTAATGCTCCATTGTATGACTTAAGCAAACACAAACAGAACATGTTCATGAGACTTAGTAGTCTTTGAAGAAGGAAAATAAAACATACAAAAGTGTATATTTTATAAGGCTTTGATTAATGTTCACTCCTTATTAGCACAAAAAATGCTTAACCAATACAGTAAATCTGCATTTAGTCCTCTGCATTCAAAATAAGCCCTTCTTCCTATGCTACACTGTAAGAGAAAAATATACAAAACAAGTATTTATGTGATTTGAGTATGAATTTCATCCCAAGCTGAGATGATACTATCAGAGGATGGATTAATATGCTTATATACAAACAACTACACTTACTATCTGTAGCTCATTTTTACTGTTATGCTTTTCCCTTATATAATATGTTAATGCTATCTACTCTATCAAAATCAGACATTCTGATGGAGGTTATAGTTTATTATGTTACATCACTCTTTTTAAATTTTTTTAAATGGGAAAAAAAACTACAGTGCTAAGAGTTAACTTAAAATATCTGCTTTAAGAAAATTCAGAGGTTTACAGAAAATTAAAAATAAAATTAAAAAATTTTTCCTCCATACAAGCTTGTTAAAATGATGGGCACTTGTTGAAATCCTGAAGCTCAATTTGATACAGAAGAATCACTTTTCTCTTAAGAGGAACATACAGTTATATTCTCAAAATTATACTAAAACCTGACCTAATTTTAACCCAAATGGCCTTTAAAAGGCTAAGAAGGCTTCATTACTGAGTGTCAATGCTATCATTTAAAAAAGAAAAAATCACTCACCTTTCAAACCTAGAGTTTGTAGCTGGAAGAGCCGACCAAGTTCATAAGGCAAAACCCGTAACAGATTGTTATTTAAAAGCAATTCCCTGTTTTAAAGGAAAAAAAAAAAACTATTTTAATATATCAAACTTTATTAACACACCCACAGTTGCTGTTCTTAACCTGCCTTTTAAGATACCATGAGTGATATCTACAATCAAGGGATATTTCTCTGTATTCATCCCAAAATGTTGTAACTACCAGATTTATTGACAGTGTTTCTGTGAATCTACTCATTCTCTAACACAAATTAAAGGTACAGGAATTGAATATCACTCTCAAATTCACTCCCTTTTCTCACTCACCCAAATTCCTCTCAGATACAAATCAAGAGAGGCAGACAGCAGATATCCTCGAACCTAGCCTCAATCATAGAAAAAAAAAAATTTTTTTTAAATAAACTTCAGGATTTCCTTCAGTAGCCAGTAACCCATTCAAATTTTATAGCATTACAACTATAATCACTTCAAGATACAACAATCACTGACAGAGAATATAAACATTAAAAATAAAGCACAGGATAGTACAAACAGGATAGCACACATGAAGATCTGAATTTACGACTCTGAAATTTGGGGCAGATTATAGAGAAAATGACTAAAAGGTATAAAATCAAACACCTAGGTATAAAAAAATAACAAAAACATAGTAAAGGAATGGTGAAAAACAAGATTTTTAAATATTAAATGTTTAAATTTAAACATATGATAGCAATTTTTTAACATTAATACTCAGCAGTAAAAAGGCAGGAAAGCAGTCCTTGTTTTTCATTGGTTCCCCCATGCCTCAATGGGTAAAGAATCCATCTGCAATGCAGGAGACAAAGGAGACGTGGGTTCAATTCCTGGGTCAGAAAGCTCCCCTGGAGGAGGAAAAAGCAATCCAATCCAGTATTCTCGCCCAGAGAATTCTATGGACAGAGGAACCTGGCAGGTTACAATCCATGGAGTCACAGAGTCAGACACAACTGAGTGACTAAGCACAACACATACAAGGTCTCAAGATGCCTATAAAATTTTCTCCTATGAAGACATTCTTAAAGAATCCTGTTTTTGTTTGTGTTAGTCATTCAATCGTGTCCAATTCTTTGAGACCCGCATGGACTGTAGCCCACCAGACTCTTCAGCCGTGGAATTATCCAGCAAGGAATACTGAAGTTGGTTGCCATTCCCTTCTCCAGGGGATCTTCCTGACCCAAGAATCAAATCCAGGTCTCCCACATTGCAGGCAGATTCCATCTGACCCACCAGGGTTTCTTAAAGAATCCTGAAAGACTAGAAATAAATCCATTTATTATCACGTTTTTAAGGTTTCCTTAAGGAGTTGTAATGTGTAAGTATACCTTGGTTGTAAAATATGTTCCTAAAAACTTTACTAACCAGCAAATTATATTTTCCCAATTATTTGTGATTAGTCTAGACTAGTCTAGCCCCAAATAATTCTGCTGAGATTTGTCACCTGAGTGCTAAGCAAGAATAAAGTATTTCAGCCCTATCCCACCTCAAGTCTGTCAAAAGAAACTGGTAATACATGCACATTTCCAGCCACAAAACTTCAAATTTGAAGGAAGGAAGGAAAAGAAACATTCCATGGAGGCCAACTCAAGTACTGTGCTTAGACAATTTGTATCATTTAATCTTCACATACATATGGGAAGCCTACTGACTGTAAGATGAGTAACCTCCCATAATGTTTGTATTTGGTACATTCACAATTTTACACAGTGAGTCACACCCATATTTCCTCACCTGAGAGACACCATGTTTCCTAGTTCTGCTGGTAAACTTCTGAGTTTATTGGATGACAGATCCAGGTAAACCAGATTGTGGAGCTTGGCGATATCAGGTGGAATGCGACTAAGGTAATTGTCATTCAGGTGCAGCGCCGTCAAGTGTGTCAGGGACCAAAGCGACGCGCTTAGGCTCCGCACTCTACCTAAAAGGCAAGGCACGGGCTCAGTGAACCTCGGCCGAGACAGAGACTGCGCCACAGGCACCGGGAAACGGGAGGAGAGCCGCGCACACACACAGGTACTCTGACTGTGACGTCTTAATTTCGCATTAAGTGCTTCTGACTGCTTCCAAACGCAACTGGTCCTTCTTTAATTCCATGCAACTTTTGTCTGACAACCATTTTTTCTCACAAACCTACCATGTATTAAAATAAGATGCAACATAACGAGAAGACCTTTGGATTGAGGGTGATCACATGTCTCAAGAAGAAAGTATGGGGCTGACCTGAGCTTTTGCAGTAGAATGGTCGTGAATTTAAGTCATGGTACTAACAAAGCATTTCTCACATACTTCATGAAAATTAACAGTACAAGGCTTATCTATACCTAGGGCCTGAATTATTCTACAAACTTTAAATAGACAAGAGTAATTGCTATGATTTAGAACCAATTTTAGATTAGCCATCAGGAAAATCATTTTACTCCCAAAGGAGATATCTTCCCCAGCTTTCTCATATTTCAATTATACATTAATAAATCTGGTTTACGATTCTGCATTAAGTGCAACACACTCCAGGAAATAGTCACACATTAAGCTTTACCAATGAGTCAGCATCTGACAGCTATGGTAGAACACATACTGGAAAAAGTCGGAAGACTTGGTTCAGAGTCCTAATTTCTACCAATTGTTAGCCGTATTAAGCCTAAGCAAATCACAGAGTTTCAACTTCTGTAAAATGTGATATTATCTTAACAATAAACTTATATGAAGAGACTTTAAAAACTTTTTACCACAGTAAAATGGTAAAAGATTTTGATTAAAAGAGCAGTGGAAGGTACAGAGGGCAAAAAAAATCTTAATAGGGAAGTGTTGCTTTTCGTATGGCTATCAAGCGGTAGACGTTAATTTAGATCTTCTGGCCAGGGTTCTTTCTACCACAGGTTCCTTGACCTTGTCTATAATCAGGCTTAAAGTATTAACTAGGATTTTGCACTTTAACAGGAAACAAAGTTTTCAAGTGAAAGAGGTTCTAGTAAATAAAACATTTAAGTTTTTACCGAGGGGTAACCAAGGGATTATCAACCAGAGACAACAATGGGACCTTGGCAATCTGGAAACATTTTAGGTTGTCAAAACCAGAGGAGTGCTACCACTACCTAGTGGGTAGAGGCTAGGAATGCTGCTGAACATCGACGTGCACACAACCACTTCCAGCCACAAAGAACTGTCTAGCCGGAAGTGTCAACAGTGCCAAGTTGGGAAGTCCTGGGTTAACCTAGTAGGATTTGATCATATTCATTATTTTAAAATTACCAATCACCTATCCACCCAGTTACCTTTTATCGAAGACACACATAATTACTGCTATACTCTAATGTGGGTTTAACTCTTCCAATGAAAGCCTACTGGGGAAAAAACTACATTCTCTATACAGTCTGTATTATACTGATTCATAATAGAAACACTGTACTTATACTTTTATTTTTAATAAATTTTTTACTTTGTAATAACTTTAGATTTACAGAAAAGTTACCAAGACAACACAGTTCCTATATACCCCTCAGCCAGTCTTCCCTACTACTAGCATATTATATTACCACTGTATATTTTTAAAAGGTTTCCTAGTGGCTCAGTAGTAAAGAACATGCCTGCCAATGTAGGAGACCGGGTTCAATCCCTGGGTGGAGAAGATCCCCTGAAGGAGGAAACGGCAACCCATTCCAGTATTCTTGTCTGGGAAATCCCTACCTGGGAAAAGCCTGGCAGTCCATGGGGTCACAAAGAGTCAAACACAACTTAGCAACTAAAGGGACAGAACCCGGGTCTCCTGCATTGCAGGCAGATTCTTTACCATCTGAGCCACCAGGCAAGCCTGTTAAGTGAAAGAATTAGTTACTCAGTCATGTCCACCTTTTTTGTGACCCCACTGGCTGTAGCCCACCAGGCTCCTCTGTCCATGGAATTCTCCAGGCCAGAACACTGGAGTCAGTTCCCTTTTCCAGGAGATCTTCTTGACCCAGGGATCGAACCTGGGTCTCCTGGATTGCAGGTAGATTGTTTACCATCTGAGCCACCAGGGAAGCCCCCAAAATAACAACATTTGTCAAAACTAAGAAACTAAGATTGCTACTTTATTACAGACTTTATTTGAATTTCACCAGTTTTTACACCTTTTTGTTAGAAGATTTGATCCAAGATACCATTTTGCATTTAGTTGCTATGTCTCTTTAGTCTTCTCTTATCTGTAACAGTTTCTCATTCTTTCCTTGTTTTCAGGATCCTGACAATCACTCTGTGGAACGTCCTTCAGTTTGTCTGGTGTTTTTCTCACTGATTAGACTGGGGTTATGAGTTTTCAGAAATTAGATTCTATTTTAACAAATCCTAAACATGTAAAGTCATGTAACATAGTCATCACTTTATAGAATAAACAGATAGCTTCCTACTCTGCCGACAATGGGATGATAGGATGATGGCAAAGATATCAACTTGCAAAAATGATTACTCTGTGATAGTCAAAACAAAATCTATTATATCAAAGAACCTGGTTTTACTTAGAAAATGCACTCCCAATGCCTTTAGTTCTAGATGCCACCTGTGGCCCATGGTATTAATCTCAAAAAGAAAGAATGGGAACAAAGACATTTAGTCACAGATAAAACAGTAAGTTGAACACTAGTTAAGTACCTGAGCATCTTGTAATTTTTCAATTAATTCATCTAATTCAAATGTATAGCAATGACAAAAATGTAATACTCAACTCTTGTTCATTATTGCGATCATATCCCAGATTAAATGTTTCAGATTTCACTCACCCGAGATTTCTAATTCTGCCCAGTGAGATTTTTTCCCATTGGCTACCTCCTCTGCTGACATGATGGTATAAATTCTGCGAGGATCTGGAGGATCATATTTTTCCTTTGGCATCCCTATTAGTCTGTGAGAAAAAGGAAAAAAGATAACCAATTATTATAGTCTTATACATAAAACAGGGAGAAAAATGGGATGGTAAGTTTTCTTTTCCTTCCCCCTTACCAGGCTACCCCTAAATTCTCACTAGAAGGAAAACACACTCAAAGTAGGCTAGGCTGCAGGAATTTAGTAACAGAGGCCTCAAGGAAAATGCAAAGAAGCAGGGACTCTGGACTTCACAATAAAACATGGTCATTGTTTCCCAAACATTCACTGCACCCCTTCCCCTTCATTTAGCTGCTGTGCTTTCCAAGACAGACTGACCCTTTGAGAGTTTCCTCGATGGATTCTGATTGGTCTAAGAGAACGAAGGTAATTTTATCCTCCTTGCCTCGTGCTATTCAAATATTCCATGTCTAAGACAATAAGCACAAGATATTCTCCCTTTCACAGAGATTAGTTAAGAAATATCTAATAATCACTAGGCTTAAGACTAATTTTACATTTATGGGAAGATAAATGTAATCTTTCTCCTATTCGTCATACATGAAAAAGAAGATAACCCCAACTACTCTTGGCAATCATTCAACAACTAAAAGGGAAGCCAGCTATAGCAGTCAGAGGCTAGAAAACAGAGAAACAAAGCCAGAGTCCTGACCAAACCACGCCTGTAGCACTCTTCAGCACTGGGTTTTTTGAATATACAAGCCAGTCTATTTGCTTATTGTTTAAACTACTAGTTTTGTGTTTTCTGTTAATTGTAATCAAAAGCATCTTAATTAAGATCATATATCTTGGTTTACATGGGCCAATCTTGGTTTATATCTGTTATTCTTAGGTCACTATTAATATAATTCTCAAAAGTGTCCAATTCGCATGATGAGTTACATGGCCACCCTAATTTAAAGTAGTAGTATACCATTTTCTTTATGTAACTGCAGTAGCATGCTATTTCTTTATATAACTGCAAAAATAACTGAACAATCATCAGTGACAACCAACTAGACATAAAACTCAAGTGTGCAATGTACAAATCAGATGACAAATGGCCATTAAAGTAACCATTCAAGAGGTCTTGAACTCCTACAAGCTATCAGTTCAGTTTAGTTCAGTCACTCAGTTGTGTCCAACTCTTTGCAACCCCATGAACTACAGCACACCAACTTCAGGAGTCCACCCAAACTCATGTCCATTGAGTCAGTGATATCATCCAACTATCTCATCCCCTTGTTGTCCCCTTCTCCTCCTGCCCTCAATCTCAGCATCAGGGTCTTTTCAAATGAGTCAGCTCTTCGAATCAGGCGGCCAAAGTACTGGAGCTTCAGCTTCAACATCAGTCCTTCCAATGAACACCCACGACTGATTTTCTTTAGGATGGACTGGATGGATCTCCTTGCAGTCCAAGGGACTCTCAAGAGTCTTCTCCAACAGCACAATTCAAAAGCATTTATCAGTATCTGCATACTATTTATAGTTGCTTCTTTGCTCACACTTTAACACACAAAGATATACATACAGACACCAAAACCAAGCACCTAAAACTGGGACTGTTTCCAAGTAGTTTAGAATCTCTATCTCAGTGGAAGAGTTACTTTCAGATAGTCTGAAATTTGTTACATACAAAGAACAAAGAAAAACAGGAAGAATTCTATTATGTATCAAGAAATCAAAGCTAGTTTATAAGAGTACAATCAAAATTTCCCATCCCATAATTTGCTCTAGTATTTCTGAAGGAAAAACCGTCATTTCTTCACATTTACTAAAAGGAGCAAAGAGGAAGTTTTCCAGATTTTTTTCATCTGTTAACAGTAATTAGCTTCCAAACCTGGTTAAGCTCTTCAGCTCTAATCTTATCACATAACTGTGATACTGAAACATGTTTTATTTTCCATAAATGTCCTGGATTTTCATACAGCACAAACAGTATGATCATTTTTCACAGAGGAAAAACTTGATTTTTACCCTATGTGGCCTACGTAAAATATTTCTGAATATAAAATTTTTAGGTAATAAGGTTTTTAGAATTTCTACTATGCACCATAAGGCACATGTATCTCTGTGGGTACTCCTACACACTAATGTAAGATTCTACAAAAACACAAGATTAACAAGCAAAAGCAAATCAAATGGATTCAGATCCAAAGACATGATACAAATTCATCATCAACAATAACAATGGGTAAAACTAAGACTATGAAATTTGCAGATTATCTTTCATTAATTTTAAATCATTTTCATAAAACAGTGCAAAAAATGGTATAGATGCACCTACAGCAGGGGAGGAAAAGCGACGTAATCATAAAGAACGGACAGGTGGGGACAATGGGGCAAAGAGGAGAGTGGGACAAATCAGGAGATTAGAACTGACATATATATACTACCATGTGTAAAATAGATAGCTGGCAGGAACCTGCTATATATAGCACAGGGAGCTCAGCTCTGACTCTTTGCAACCATGGACTGTAGCCTGCCAGCCTGCTCTCTCCATGAGATTTCCCAGGCAAGAATCCTAGAGTGGGTTGTGATTTTCCTACTCCAGGGGATCTTCCTGACCTAGGGATCAAACTCACATCTCCAGCATTGACAGACAGATTCTTTACCAGAGAGGCACCTGCAAAACACTCCTATCACACAGTGGGCACCTAATAAGTACTTGTGGAATGATCATATGCTTTATAATCCTAAAAACTACCAGCTTTCTCCCACCTTTTCCAATCAACAGTCAATGATCCTCTAAAAATTAATCTCATGAAATGTAATTAATCAATTTCCCTAAGTAATTTAAAATCTAGAGAGGAGATTAATAGTCATCATCTCTTCTGGCACACAAATGCTAATATCTGAAATTGCTACTATATAAGAACTATATACTTCTTTTTAAGATGCTCAACATCACTCATTATCAGAGAAATGCAAATCAAAACCACAATGAGGTACCATTACACACCAGTCAGGATGGCTGCTATCCAAAAGTCTACAAGCAATAAATGCTGGAGAGGGTGTGGAGAAAAGGGAACCCTCTTACACTGTTGGTGGGAATGCAAACTAGTACAGCCACTATGGAAAACAGTGTGGAGATTTCTTAAAAAACTGGAAATAGAACTGCCATATGACCCAGCAATCCCACTTCTGGGCATACACACCGAGGAAACCAGATCTGAAAGAGACACGTGCACCCCAATGTTCATCGCAGCACTGTTTATAATAGCCAGGACATGGAAGCAACCTAGATGCCCATCAGCAGACGAATGGATAAGGAAGCTGTGGTACATATACACCATGGAATATTACTCAGCCGGTAAAAAGAATTCACTTGAATCAGTTCTAATGAGATGGATGAAACTGGAGCCCATTATACAGAGTGAAGTAAGCCAGAAAGATAAAGATCATTACAGCATACTAACATATATATATGGAATTTAGAAATATGTAATGATAACCCTTTCTGCAAAACAGAAAAAGAGACACAGATGTACAGAACAGACTTTTGGACTCTGTGGGAGAAGGCAAGGGTGGGATGTTTCAAGAGAACAGTATGTATATTATCTATAGTGAAACAGATCACCAGCCCAGGTGGGATGCATGAGACAAGTGCTCGGGCCTGGTGCACTGGGAAGACCCAGAAGAATCGGGCAGAGAGGGAGGTGGGAGGGGGGATCAGGATGGGGAATACATGTAACTCCATGGCTGATTCATGTCAATGTATGACAAAACCCACTGCAATGTTGTGAAGTAATTAGCCTCCAACTAATAAAAATAAATGAAAATAAAAAGAACTATATACTTCTTTTTAAAAATTTTTTTATGAGTCTCCATCTTTGTTTAAGTCTATTAAAATTTATAAAATCTGTTTATCATATCCATAAAATGCTTACCAATGTCTATATGTAAAAACCAAAGTACAATTAATACTTTTATATTATGTGTCAAAGGTCTCTTTTGGATTTGGTTAAGAAGTCAATAAAAATACAAGTCATTTAATCCTTCAAAATGAAACTAAATTCGGATAGTCTGATTGAAGTTAAAACACTTATTTGCATTAACTAATTTAATAGAGTCTGTAGTTTTGGTGATCACTACTGTCCTAAGCATCAGATTTTCAAACATGTTACTTAAAAACTTAGCTCAAATTTAGGAAATTGGCATTATTGAATCCTCCTATTAGGTTAGGCTTTATCTTCCCGCTCAGTTTCTCAGCACCAATCTTTCATTTTGGATACATATCACAAAAACCTATTTCAAAATAATTTAATGTATAAAATAACAATTCAAATATAACTTAAATCTTTAAATGTGACACTGATAATGTGCTTTCTCAACAGTCTAAGATATAGGTCAGTCCAAGGCTTAAATACTGGATGAACACACTTCATCCAAGGAAGAGAAATGTTTTATTTTGTAAAGTCTAACAGCTAATTCTTTTCTCTAACTTTATTAAATTGATGAAAAGGCAGGTTTTTTCAATCAGTTCTTCCAAAAATTTCTAATTTGTGCAATATCTTACATCAGTTCCCAAAGGATCATCCCCTTACATCAACCTAATTTACACTGGGGAGGGGAACCTGATAATGTAACAAAGTAAACTAAAAATCCCTTCACAACACAGCCTTTTTAACTTGCACTCTTCAATCCCATTTCAATACCATGAAAAATACTCCACATAGCTCCCCAAATACTGACTACATAAGCTTCTTTGAACCTGCCATCCTCTCTCCTCCATTCCTTGAATCTTAGTATATCACCAATGCAGGCTTTTCAGAATCTAGTGCAAAATTCCTGAGAGCAACTGTCAGTCCTGAACAAAGAACCTGATTACTTCTTAGTTCTTACATGAACTATCCTGAAAGAGAATCATCGCCGAAGGGTGATTAATTACTATATACAGTGAAGATGTTCATTAGTTTATTTCTCAGTCTTCTTTAAAATTATGCAAAAACTTCAAGTAAACTTGTAAAATACTAACTTCATGGAAATGTATTCCAGTCCTTTTCTGGCTGAAAGTAATACTGTACATAACACTAGGCC